TCTGGCGCAGTATAGATTGATTTCTTCTTCAATAGTTTGGATTCTGAGATCTTGATGAATCAACCAATTTGGGACATATTTTGGAGCGTTCACGATTTCTTTCAAAATTTTGTTTTGGAACCTTTGTAGAATAGTTATATTCGATTTACTGGCCGCACCCCATAGTTGTAGGCCGTAGGACCATATTGGTTTAATTATTGTTTTGTAGATTAGTAGTTTATTTTCTATTGTGACTTGTGATTTCCAGCCCATTAACCAATTAAGTTGCCTACGTGTTAATTCAAGCTGCTGACGCTTTTTTAGAATGTGTTCATGCCAGGTTAATCTTCTATCTAAATGTAATCCCAGATATTTAACAACATTGGATACAGGAACTAAATCACCATTCAATCTAACAGGGGGGCATGAACCTTGTCTTAAGGTAAAAGTAACGTGAACTGATTTAGAGTTATTCACTTTTATTCTCCATAGTTTCATCCACTTTTCTACTTCATCTACATGTTTTTGTAGAATTTCCGAGGCAAGCAATTGGTTGTCATGTTGAGCTAGAATTCCCGTATCATCTGCAAAGGTAGCAATCATGGTTTCTGCATTCGTAGGTATATCAGCAGTATATATAATGTAAAGCAGCGGACCCAGAACACTACCTTGGGGAACTCCGGAAGAAATATTTTTAACATTAGATGAAGCATCATTAAAACTGACAAAGAACCTTCTATCACACAGATATGATTTTAGGAGGAGATAATAGTTGTATGGTAAATTCTTCTTTAATTTGTACAACAAGCCGTTATGCCAAACTTTATCAAACGCCTGACTGATGTCAAGAAAAAGGGCTGAACAATATTTTTTTAAGTGAAAGGCTTTATAAATGGAATCCACAACTCTATGTATTTGTTCTACTGTTGAGTGTTGTCTAATGAACCCAAATTGATGTTTTGGCATAAAATTGTTATCTTCTAAAATATTTATGATTCTTTTGTGAATAACTTTTTCAAAAATTTTTGAGAGGCAAGACAGAAGACTAATGGGCCGGTAGGAAACTGCATCAGTAGGATTTTTTCCAGGCTTGAGAATTAAGATTATTTTCGCCAATTTCCACGATGAAGGAAAATACTTCAGCCGTATTATGGCATTAAATAATATAGTTAAAAATCTCTTACCTTTATCAGGAAGGTGTTTTATTAGACCAAACGTAATCGCATCATTACCAGGAGTTTTTCCCAATTTAGTGTTACTAATCTCGTAGAGCACTTCAGAATACTTAATTTTTGGAATGGGTTCGTCTGTGAAATTACCGTCAATCAAGTAATCTGTGATAAATTGATCGTTAGGTACATTACAAGGATGAGGAGTGAAGACCTTTTCAAGGTGATTTGCAAAGGTAATAACCTTGTCTTCTGCTGATCTAGACCAAGAACCATTATCATTTCTAATTGGAGATACCGTGGAGGTTGGTCTTTTCATATTTTTCGTGGCTTTCCAAATGGAATGGTCATGAACAGACAAATCACTTAAGTAGGACTCCATATGTTTGTTTTTTAAGTCAAACAAATATTCTTTAAGTTCCTTAATAGCTTTATTCAGTTTAGCTTTGTCATCCGGAAAATGAGTATTTTGCCACCTTCTACGCAGTTTTCTTTTACAGGCTATGAGTCTTTTAGCTTTGAGTGGACAGAAAAATCGGTCAACAATATCATTTGTGGGTGTAGAATAGCGAGCCGCATCAGTAATATTTTTATTGAGAATACCTATTGCATTATCAATATCATCTGTACTTTTTAGAGGTATCTTGCAGCATAAATTGTCATCAATATATTTAGAAAATAATTCCCAATTAGTTTTTTTATTTGTTAATGATGGACTTTTAGATTGCAATTTAAACTTTGAGCTAAATGTAACAATAATTGGAGTGTGGTCAGAAGATAAGTCAAGACTTGATTCAGCTTTTAATTGTTCATCTAATATACCCTTGAATATACAGAAGTCTAGAAGGTCTGGAATTTTAGAAGTGTCACCAGGCCAGTAAGTTGGTTCACCTGTTGATAAGTGTTTAAGTCTGCAGTTAACCATGGATTTATAAAGTTGCTTACCTCTTGGATTGCTTAATCTCGAACCCCATGAACAATGTTTAGCGTTATAATCTCCTCCAGCTAAAAATATTGGTCCCAAAGATGTAAAGAATTCACTAAATTTTTCATGAGAAATGTTATGTCTTGGTGGACAGTATAATGCACTTACAGATAAAGCTCCAATTGAAGTTTCAATCACTACATTAGTTGCTTGTAAAAAATGTTCCGCATAAGACTGAGCCATATAGTGTTTAATTGTTGATTTTATAAGCACAGCACTTCCGCCGTGGGCTGTTCCATCAGGATGATTAGTTGTGTATAGGTTGTAATTTGGAACCTTGAAAAAACTTAACGACGTGAAGTGGGTTTCTGAGACTAGTAGAATATCTATTTTTTGAAGATTAAGAAAATGTATAATTTCTTGAGTATGATTACTCAATCCATTTGAGTTCCAGACAGCAATTCGAATGAAATGATTCATGGATTAAACTTAGTAACCAGGGATGTTAATAAGTTAAGCATTACACTCATTTGGTCGACTAATGATTTTACCATTTGTTTTAATTCAGATATATCATTATTTTGGATTCTGGGCTGAGAAATTAATTCTGGATTAGTAACCTGCTGTGTATTTCTGATCTAGTTGCCTGGGCAAATGATAGGTTTGGTTGAATCCGATTGTTATATATTAAGTTAGAGGAAGGTAAGATCCTGGGCCTTAAAGGCGGAAATTTGCGAGATATTATTTCCTTATAGACTCTGCAACCTTTATAATTTGCTGGATGTTTTTCGCCGCAATTCGCGCATTTGACATTTTCATTAATAGGATCTTTCCATAAGCAAACATTAGAAAGGTGTTTACCAGCGCATTTAATACATCGGGGTTTATGATTGCAATAAGATTTTGTATGTCCAAATAGTTGACATTTTGAGCATTGCACTACATCTTTTGTAGGTCTTTTAGGTTCTATCTTTACTTTAGTTCTATTTAGGAATTCAATTTTATAAATATCTGAGTTATTTGAACTCTGTTCAATTTCAAGTAAGAACAGATGAAGAGGGGCTTTTGTTAGTCGATGCTTTATGTTGAATAAGTTAATAACTTTATGCCCGTAGGAGTTGATTTCTTCTGTTAAATCTTTTAAATTAGTACTGTGGTGGAGATTCCTTATAACAGTTTTAAATGTACGCTTAGATTTGTATTGGAAAGAATGAAATGAGGTTCCTCTATCCTTTAGTAGTTTTAATATTTTATTATAGATTTTTGGCTCAGATAATTGGACACGTACCTGAAGATTACCTACAATTTTTAATTGATAAACATCTTTAGCATGCTCATTCAGAAGGTTTGTAAGAGGGGTAATATCACCTACACCATGGACAAATATTGGAGGTGGCTTGTGAGCTACTTGTTTTGGTGGTGGATCTATTGGGGCATTATTTAATACGTCAAAATAATTATTTAATGGAGTTGGATTTAGCCAATACTGATCTGACTCGTTGTTACAAACGACTGACTTTATGGAAGATGTTATGGATGATGTATCATCCATGTGACGCTTTCTTCTTTTTCGAACTGTTGTCCATTCAACATTCATCGATTTATTATTATTTTGAAAATCAGTTAAGTTTATAGCATCATTTGAATGATGGTTTTTCAAGTTCGAATTTGATCTAGTTGTGGGTTTACCTGCTGTACTTGGACCTGGTGCCATATCAATATTATTTATGTCACTGACAGCTTCAAAGTTAGTATTGTTTGACAATACGTCCCCTCCGATGGGGATCATTTTTATAAAAACTTTACCTTCGCTCAGAGGCGAGGTGCACTTAGTCCACACTAGTAGATAAAACTGTTATTTACTGAAGTAACAATTAAAAGTATTAACGATAAAATATCTAAAATAGATTTTGAGCATAATTCTAATTGACTTTTTGCGGTCTGTATTCAAATATTTGATTGAAAGAAAATGGTAAATGAATGGGTTTCAAAACCTCATTACATGTAGTGTAAATGTTGAAACATTTTGGTGTATCATTTGTTTGATATAGTGAATTATAACTCTTTGACGATATATATTATAATTTACAGAAAGAGAATATGCTTGAATTTTTTAAGGGGGTCTTCCTATGTGACGGCCTGTTTTTTAGGGATATTTTAGGATTTTTTTCTACGACCAGTAAATATTTAGAGCTTCAAGTTTTTTATCATTTATTAACACATATTTGGACAGTATAAATATAAAATTTCAGCTAAAAATATTCAGTCAAACTAGAGTTACAGCGCTCTGAACACCCCCGCCTCGAAAAAAAGAGCTCGCACTTCCTCCACGATTCCGGCTGATCGGCTTATCTGAAAAAAAAAAATAAACGGCGTTTTAATTTGTAGGCTTAAAAGCACGGAATGACCTATAATCAAATGAATATAAAAATTAATTGGATTTTTTTATAGACATTTGAAATAAAAGTTGCAAATTAGGCGTTTTTTTTTGTTTTTTGCTATAAAAAATCGAAGTTTTGAAAATAGTTATTATACGATTGATAATAGTTCATTCCATGCGTTTAAATATATTGAGTGTGCCCTGTAAATTTCAAGTAATTCGGTCCAGCCGTTTCTGATAAACACAGTTTTGAGAAAAACGCGTTTAAAGGCTCTAACTGCCAACTCAGCGCTCCAAACCGCTCTTTCTTTTACCTGCTGTATCTTTAAAACGACTTCGAATTTTCTAAAATCGCTTTACTACCATATTCTAGACATGTTAAGGGAGCAATTTATGAAAAAAAAATCGATTTTTTCAACCCATCACATAGGAAGATCCTCTTAATCATGTATTTATTATAAATTATTCTATGGTTGATATTTCCATTTATGTTGTGGGCGAAATTGGTCTATTTGGATCATAGGAACATGTTTACAAATTTTCTTGCATGGAAAGCATTTTTAGCATCAAAGCACTGGAAGGTCTTCAGGATAGTTACGAAATTCAGGCTTTGATAAAGAAGTATCTCGATCTGAATTTTTTTCATTGATTTCCATTTTATAAATATATCCATTGAATTGAAGATTTGGCTCAACTTTTATATAGCCCATACCTTTATATACAGATTGTCCATTGTTTCATTTAAAAAGGATAACAATAAGTAATTTTAATAATTCGTACATTTAAGAGTTAATGCTTGACTTCACTTATATATTAGTGCGCATATGCATCTGAATGCACGTTAATTTATCAATGTTTTATATTTTCATTCATTGCGTTTCATTCAAGCTGACGTACAGTTTTAATACTTCAGACAATAGGCTTTTGCATCATCATTAGGTACTAAATTAAATGAACCAATATACACAAGACGACGTCTTAAGCAATGAATGCTAATCGTTAAATTGATTTTAGTTCTGTGGAAAATTGCAAGATCAATTTCTGCATACAGAACTTGAGCTTCAATATGTAAAATCCAAGGAACAAAAAACATTTGGTGAAAATTACTATTGACAATCTGTAATGCACATAATTTCATAATAATTATACGTTTCACATATTCATTAACATCGTATATACAAAATATTCTTTACAGCCGTTGCCAGCATGGAATGTAATGATTTCAGAGGCAATTCGCATAAAAATATTAATAAAGTTACAATATTACGCGTACAATAATCTACTAATGAATTGGACCATAAGAAATGTTCACATAGCGAGGCTTTTGCTTTATTTATGCAACAGTATAATAATGTTGCGCACTC